CTCTCAGCACCTGTTCCGGATACGGCGCCCCACAGCAAAAACAAACCTTTTTCAAAAAAAAAAAAAAAAAATAATATAGACGAAACCGGGGAAAACGATGATAGGCGCGAATTTCAGCGGCAAAGGCGGCAGGAGGAGGACACCGTTGCCACCGCTCCAGCACAAAAAATCTTATCCAAGTGCCATCATTTCTGATCATAGCAATTTTATACCACGGGGGCAATTCAAGACGAGACATTTGCATACCACATGGAACAAGGACAAGAAGAATCGCTAGCTTCAATTTTTAAGCATTTTTGCATATATGCAAATTGCAAAAAGGCATATTGGCAAGAGACTGTCTGTGTGTGTGTGTTCGCATTTTTTGTCACCCATTTTCAGCTCGAGAACCAGAAAAGCTAGAAGGCTGAAATTTCGGGAGTATGTGCTCACCAAATGCGCGACCCCACCGTTTTATTACTCATATGTGCCGCTTATTCCTTTTGCAACAACACCATACACAACTTCCCATAGTGAAAATGCGCGGGGGTTTTTTTAATACTCGAGAGAAGGCGAGGAAGGAAGGGGGAAGGGAATGCTACTTCCCTGGTGGGGAAAAAACAAAAGCAAACCCCATGACCTTGCCCAACTGCGCTACCCACAGAACAAAACACTTCTTAACCTTAGCATAGAGAAACGGACAATGAACCTTGGCGACCTCGGCCTGACCTTTTCCTTACCTCACCCCTCCCTCACTTACCTCCTTTTTCTGCCTTCCCCTCTTCTCCCCTACGTCTTCCCATAAATACTTGTGCTTATACAGCAACTACTTCCTCTACAAACTTTACAAGTGGCAATGAGAGGGAAAAAAGTCCTCCAGTAATCTCCCCTTAACTCTTTGTAAAACTCTCTAAACAGTTTTCCAAAAATGGCAATTACGGGGGTTGTCTCTGTGTGTGTGTGTGTGTGTGTGTGTGTGTGTGTGTGTGTGTGTGTATGTGTCTGTATCGATTTTCCATCTTGAGATCTACAAAAGCTACAAGGCTGCAATTTTGCGAACTTAATCTACATGCATGTACAAGTCCCAGTCCCCAAAAATGTACACTCTTGCCCACGTGGTTCCCACGTATTCGGGTTCGTGAAGGTTTTTTGCGGGTAAGTTGCTAACTCGGGAACCAGAAAAGTGAGAAAGCTGGAATTTTAAGGGGGTATTCCTTGTTCACATAGAGCACGGAAACGAGAAAAATGCTTCTCCAGCTCCAGATTCCCCTTTCCACTGAATCAGCTTGCAAAACTAAAAGACAGACCAATTTAATCCTGAAAATTTTTTCAACGAACTCAACAATGCTCAGGAAAATAACGTCACTTTAGCATACAACAGTGCCCCATAAAACGTAAAAATTATCGAAAATGTTTATCGAAAATTATCAAAAATGATACGAATTCGATAATTTCCATGATATTCGGAGATTAACTTTGAAAAAATCCACTCAAAAATAGCCAAAAAAGGACCATTGAGGCGCCAAAATCACGTAAAACCTTAAAAAATAGGGAGGAAGGCCATAAAACCCGTATGAGAGGATTAGAAAATTCCGCTAAGGGGACACAAAACCCTTACTGAAAGAACACAAAATTTGGAACTGCCTTCGGGTAAATCTACCCAAACAAAGGGGCAAAAACACGAAAAATGGGCACCAAAATTACCCCCGGGAACTGCAAAAATTGAGGGATGGTAAAAAATGCAGGCGACTGTAGGGAGAGGGGGGGGGGGGAATTTTGTACGAAAGGTCTACAAAATTTACTCGGAGGTTAGGCAAAAACTACAAAAGTAATTATCCATCTAGCACACACACGCATCCAAAAAGGCGACTGAAAAAAGTCGCAAATCCTGGAAATCCCGGAAAATCCCTAAAGCTGAAAATACCGGAAAATCCCTCAAACTAAACCCCCAGAACTGGAAATCCCGGAAAATCCCTAAAGTTGTAAATCCCGGGAAATCCACTGAAAATACCAGGAAATCCCCTACAAAACCCACAGATTCGTAAAAAATCCATGAACCCCCCTCCTAGATGAGACGCAGGAGCGCTATTTCGAGCGAAGCACGCCATTCCTAGACAACAACGCCAAAAAATCGATGGCTCATGGTTGCCCATTTAGTGGGGGAGGGGGAGGGGGGGTTGAAAGAAGTGGTGAAGACAAAAATCTGAGCCCCCACAGGAAAATTCCTTGCAAAATCCAGAAATCTGCCCAAAAATCCGCAAAAACCCTTGACCTGGGGATGGACATTTCCCGCAAACCCAAAAATCTGCTCGAAAACCCGCAAAAATCCTCGACCTGGGGAACATTTCCCGCGAAATCCAAAAATCTGCCTGAAAACCCGCAAAAACCCTCAACCTGGGGTGGAGATTTTCAGCGAAATCCAGGAATTTGCTCGAAAATCAGCAAAAAACCCCGACCCAGAGGACAAAAAGTTGCACCCTTGCCCAATGACGAACAAGACGAGCCGAGAATGGTGAAGCAACCACGCCGCACGGACAATCCAGGACGCACTTCGGGATGAGTGGGCACCTCTCTTCGCTGCACTTTGGGTCGCTTTGCGCTGCTACGCTTACGTGCCATGTGCAACAGGATCAGTCTGCCGGAAAATTCGCGAATGTTCCAGAATGTTCCATTCGCTACCGTAGTCCTCGAATGAATGTTGCACACACACATTCGTGCAATGCCATGGCGGCATTTCAAACTCATAGTGTATTGCAGCACCGCTGAGCGAACAGTTTGTCAGTCATAAAAAGCTAGAAAGTTGAAATTTTGGGATCATAAAAGCCGGCTCGGCAAGGCCACGCAAAATGCACTCGCTTTTGAGTTTGGGTTCGAGTTACGAGAATCGTAGTGCCGGGTTTTTTCGTCTGAGTAAAATTTTCGGCCAAAATTCTGGCTGTAGCATTCAAGACTGCTAAGTTCCCTCCAGCAACAACTGTTTCAGGCTGTACATGAATTTCAGCTTTAAAGGATTGAGGCAAAAAAAAAATCTGAGGTTCGTAGTACCGGTTTTTTTTTTGTTCGGGCAAAATTTTGGGTGCCGCGCTCAGGATTGCTAATTTTCCCCCAGAAACATTTGAGATTAAGTGGAAATTTTGTTGGAAAATGTAGCAGTGGATGATAGAAAAGGTCAGAAAACAGTGAAAAAGGGGAAGATGTAAGAAAGAACTAATAAATTAGTTAAGAAATGTTTCGGTCCATTAAGTCGTATACATTTCTTACCGTTACCACAGCTGGACCTCGTCAGTACGATGACTGTTTCAGGCTGTATATGAATTTCAGCTTGAAAGGGGTTAGACACAAAGAAGTTTGGGATTCTAGGTATAGTACCGGATTTTTTTGCCCAGGTAAAATTCTAATTATCGCATTCAAGATTGCTTTCTTTCCGTTAGCACCAATTTTCAGGTTGTACCTGAATTTCGGCTTGAAAGAGATTAGGGCAAAAATAAGTCTGAGAATTTGTAGCGCCGGATTTTTTTTGTTTAGGAGAAGTTATGGGTGCTGCGTTCAAAACTGCTAAATTCTCTCAACATCGCGTTTCAGGCTAAGAATTTCAACTAAAAAAGTATTAAGGTATAAAGAAGTCTGAGGTTCGAAGTAGTGGATTTTTTTGTTCAAATAAAATTCTGGGTGCCGCGTTCAAGACGCTAACTTTCCCTCCGTGTCAAGTTTCAGGCCAGACATGAATTTCAGCTTGATATCAAGGACTAGAGCAAAAAGAAGTATGAGGTTCGCGATATCGGGCTTTTTTTGTTTAGGTGAAATTCTAGGTATCACATTCAAAATTGCACATTTATTTTCCCACAGCAACTAATTTCAGGTAGTACATGAATTTTAGCTTGACATCATGGGCTAGGAGCTCTGAGATTCGTAATACCGGATTTTCTCGTTGGGTAAAATTTTGGATGCCGCGTTCAAGATTGCTAGCTTTCCTTCAATACCAAGTTTCATGCTGGATGTGAACTTCAGCTTGAGATCAAGGGTTAGGTCAAAAAGAAGCCTGAGCTTCATAATATCGGGCTTTTTTGTAAAACTCTGGGTACCGCATATGAAACTGCTAACTTTCCTTCAGCAACGAGTTTGAGGTCGTACATGAATTTCAGCTTGAGGAGCAAGAGTCAGGACAAAAATAAGTCCAAAAGTTGCAGGAAAAAATTTCGGCCCTTTGTTTTGTGGATTCAAAATATCGGTTTTCAATACAAATAGATGCATACGCCTGGATACAAACACAGTAAGGAGTCTTTACTTTTACTTCATTTTCGCAAAACTGCTGCTCACTTTAAAAAACTGAGTATTTTTTGGCTTCAAAGCACTGGTGAGTAGTGCAGTTCCAAAAGTGACTTTTTTTGATGAACACCATCTGTTTGATGTGCTAGATTAATAAAAATGATAATAGATGATGAAGCAGTAATAATAATAATAATAATAATAATAATAATAATAATAATAATAATAATAATAATAATAAT